CTCCCAGTCTCAGTTCAGGAGGCAGACACCCTCTCTACTTTTAAGATTGGACTTAAGATGTTCCTTTTTGATAAAGCTTATAGTTAGGGCTGGATCAGGTGACCCTGAGCCCTCCCTTAGTTATGCTGCTATAGGCCTAGGCTGCTGGGGGGCCCCATGATGCTCTGAGTTTCTCTCCCCTCCCCTCTCCTCTCCTCTCTCTCCCTATGCTTCTATATGCCACCACTACACATCACTAACTTTGTGTCTCAAGGGGGATTTGTTGGATTTTCCCTATGTAATAATAGTGATAACAGTAAGGTCTAGACCTTACTTTGTAAAGTGTCCTGAGATGACTTTTGTTGTGATTTTGCGCTATACAAATAAAATTGATTTGATTTTCATCTGACAGGCAGAACAAACAGAGGGTTCAGTTTGAGGACAATGCAGTAGCAGCAAACAGCTACAATGATGACGCGGCTGAGGTAAGAAACAGAAACTCAGGTAGAGGAGTCTGAAAGAGAGACCAACATCAAATCAAACTTCACTGGTCATGAAGGAAATGTCTGTGCCTCAGGTACTTGATAAAAACATTGTAAACACTGTATTCACAGGCACAGTATTAAAATGTACTGTAAGTAGTACAGTAATGTAAAACTGATGTACTGTCTAAGTCACTTTTCAGGCAGCAAGTGGAAAACATTTGATGTTTCCAACTTGTCCAGTGGGAGAACTGGCTGCTTTTTGTTAAGTTGTACAAAAACTGTACTAACCACACCAATCCTGCAGGTTCTGCTCAGTTCAGGGTATAGGAATCCCCCGATTAGAGCACCTTAAGATCCTGTGGTTGAAATCAGCCTAACATTCCTCTGTTTATGTCATTTAGTTCACTCCTGTGGACATTGAAGTCTCAGACAACACACAGAAAGCTGTGAACAACAAGGTCCGTTTATTCCCTGTAACACTGTAAATACAGTTAATTTTTCTGTAGTTTAATGGGATGTGTATCTGTAGTTTAATGTGATCTATAACTGTGTTCTGTGTGTTGATCAGCTTGTAGATGTGACTCCTCTTCCTCCTGAGTGTCTAATTCCTCCTGAAACTCACGAGAAGCAAAAATTCCCACTCATCAGGTCAGTCCCAGGCAGCAAAAAACTTATCCTTTACATTATCATTAATACAGTGTCATGACTTAGTGTAGATCAAAGTGATTGCTGGTCCTGAAAACTCTTCAAAACTAGGCCTTTAAAGTTATTAAAAGTTTGAAATTGCTTTTACAGTGGTCTTAAATATTCTGTTCACCTGACTGCACATATTACATTAAAGCAATTTACAGATGCAGCCACCTTAAATTGCTGGCTAGACCGCGGCGGAAGTGTACCTGATCCGTGGCAGGTCTGTGCACGGCCCCTGCTCTTACCGTGTATCCGCTGTGATGACACAGTGATCGGAGTGCCGTCTTAACGCCCCAAAGCACCTTGTGTGCAAGCCGCCCGCAGGGTTGTATATATCCACCAGGTGGAGCAGTGCTTATTGTAGTTCACTGCAGAGGCCCGCAGAGGCCCACAGACAATTTGATCCGTGTGTTAATGTCCAGAGCTGCTGGTGGATGAATTCAGTGGGACCGCCGGACTGAGCGGAGGCGCTTGGTCGGCAGTGGCTGCCTACATATTAATCAGTGTCCGTGTCTGTCATGGTAATAACTTCTATTTCATTATGTCTACATTTCTCTCTCTTCTATGAAACAGAAAAGACACAGTCACTCTCTTACTCTTTTATACTCTCCCAAATAGTACCTCTGACTTTTTCCGTGTATCAGAACCAGCTTTATTGGCCAGGTGTGTGGGACACATGAGGAGTTTGACTCCGGTACAGTGGCTCTCAATGTGTAAGATATACTTGTAAGGAAACGAGTAAACAAGATAAGACAGAGAACAAAAAAAAAGTATGCAAACAAGAATATATATACATACACACACACAAAGTTTAGATGGTTCTTTCTGCAGTCCTGACTCTCCGATTGAAGTCTGTACTTGTCCTGTTTGGTTGCTAAGCCAAACCAGACAGTGATGGAGGTGCAGAGAACAGACTTGATGATTCCTCTGTAGAACTGTATCAGCAGCTCCTGTTCAGCGCCAGGTTGTTGTGACTGCACCGCAGGACCAGCTGTTCAACTGTCTGTAGGCAACTTGTCATTGTCTCAGATGAGACTGCAAACTTTTTACAGGATTTTTACAGAGGGTTTCCTGAGGTGCAGTCGTAGGTGTAAAGAGATAAAAACAGCGTGGAGAGCACACATCCCTGGGGGGGGCGCCTGTGCTGATTGTCCGGGTGCTGGATGTGGTTTTCCCCAGCCTCACCTGCTGCTTCCTGTCTGTCAGAAAGCTAGTAATCCACTGACAGGTGACATCTTTTTCACAAATCTTCAGGCATGGGGGGCTGGGAGGAAGGGAGGTGATCGCTGGGGGAGCAAGCAGCAGTGTGTCAACTTCACACCAGCAGGTGTATCCGGATGAAAATGGGGTTTGTCCAGGTGAATTTTGGGTGCACTGGTAATATGAGGGCACACAAAGTGACTGCGTCACTCAGCAATAATACCAGGTCTGTGGTGAACATTCAGATCACCATTGATAGTTAATGAGCATTTTGGCCGTGTTGCAACGTGCGCCTGTCTAGGTGTGCGCACAATGCTCGTGCACTGTGCTTGTTATACCCTCGGATGTGCTGCATAGGATGTGCAAAACCTAACAAATAAAAAGATGATAATGAGTTTACTGGGTGTTGTGCACACCAATATATACCCAAATGTATTTATAAAAAAAAAACAATTTGGATTAGTGATCATGTGCCTTCACCTCATGCACAAGCAGATCCTTTTCCTCAGTGGAATGTCTTTGCCATCTGACCTGGGAAGTCTGCCATTATTTTGGCAATCCATCAAATGTTTAAACTCACACGTCTCTCAAAGGGGATGTGAGGTTACACACCAATTGGATAACTGCATGTTACGCCCAAAACACACCCCTGCTTTAATGAGGTCAAGTACGGGCCTTGTACTACAGTCGACTCTAAACTGTGTCGCTGTGAACCATCCACATCGTCATATATGTGGTTGAACAAAACACATAAACACTTGCGGGAGCCAGTTGGGCATCAGAGCGCATATTGCTTGAGTCGATGTTGTGAATCACTACACCTTAAATTTTATTATCGCAGCTTAGAGCTTTGCAGTTTGCGGGACAAACACTTTACTGATGATTGAATCGTCAAGCGCTCACAATAATGCAACGTTATGAATTCCAACCAGATTTTGGCAGTAGGCCTGTTCTTTTTTCTTTCTCTGAGGAATTAAAAAGGGGCAGAACATCGTTCCAGTGCATTCCGGCAATACTACATCTATGGTTAATATGTCTCTTTTGCTTTGTCGGTATGACATTATCGGTAAAATGTTCCCAGCCAATGTATTTTGTCCGCTGAAATATCAGATCTTCCAGCACATGACTCTCACAGGTCTTTAAGAGTGAGCAAAGCTGAAAAATGACACCAGAGCAAAATTCAAGGTGGAGTTGATCTCAAGCTGTTTAAGAGACAATGCTGTGCTTTATGCCTTCACCGCCCTCTGCAGTGTTTCATTCATTCTGAAATTACACTGCATTAGAATACACTCCAACAGTCAAATGTGTTCCTTACTTAATGTACAGTATCTGCGTTTGCAGTTTAGTTGCACTGGAACATTTTAAGAGTCAGGGAGGCTGAAGAAGTACGCTACAAACTATTAATCTGTACGTTAAGACAGTGCAATGATACATCTGTAGCTGCATCTGTATTTTTTTAAAGATAATTTACACATTTAGATAAAATAGACACAGCATGAAAATTTATTATATTTGTATTATTTCTTATGAGTCCCACAGGGTTTTCTGTTTATGAGTGTCTTTGTGTGTTTGTGTCAGTGCGAAAGGTGAGATCTTGTGCAGTCAGAAGGACTTCTGGATAAATCGGTTCATCCCAGGTGAAGATGGTATGATACTCCTCACACCCAGATTAGCTGGTTCCAGGTCTCTTGTGGATGACGGTCGACCTCCTGCAGAGCCTCTGCAGCAGCAGCACCAGGGTACACATGCACGAAATAAATGTTTTCACAAAGCCACACACCATGGCAACAGAGTAGGAAGCCTGTTTTCAGCCATTATTAATCAGCACAGAAACTCACAGGATCAATTACGTTAAATCTGCAAGTAAATAACAGTGTGCTTTACAATTGCAATGGTATGAGGTTTTCAAGGTATGATAACTGTCTGAGAAAATATTACCGAACAGGAGTGAAGTCCATGTGAATCATCAAACAGTTATCTGGCTGAAAAGACATTAGATGCACATTAAAGGATTCATTATTGCCTTTTAACCCTAATGTTTGACATCCCTACTTTAATGAACACAGCAGAAATATCATTTCTTTGGGGCTGGGGTTTAAAATCTGATGAAATATCAAAGCGACATCGAAAACATCAGAAATGTTCAAAGTGCTGTGCTGTGGCAGCTGTTTGTTGATTTGTGTCCTCCAGATGCTGAAGCTCCAGCTGATGCAGCAATGGATGTAGCAGATGTTGAGGGTGGAAGGGGTGATGCTGCAGAGAACTTCCTGTCTTTAGAGGACAACAACATGGAGCTGGACCATGTCGACAGACACCAGGTTGCTAGTGGTCCAGTTTGTCTTATGTGTGTCTCTGAGATAACACATCCCCACCCAAAACAGATTTTCTCACCCAAAACCCATTTGATAATAATAAAATTGAACTTTAGATGATTAAACTTTGTTTTATCATCGCAAGCACCGTGTTTATGTATTCAACATAGCCAGTATAAGTAACATGATTATCATGTCAACTAAGGATTTTGGTGTCTGCAAAAATAAGCTCAGTGACAGCACTTCCTCCGTTTTGCGGAATAACCCATATAGGTTGTGTGAGTGTGTGAGAAAAAGGGCAGGTCATTGTAAAGGAAGAAAGACACAGTAGTAAATACTGACTTCAAGACACCTTTGCAGCTTTATCCTCCATCTCTAATCACCTCAACAGCTGCAATAAAATTCAAACTCCTAACAGTAATATGAACAGCAGTCTTTATGAACACAATCAGTAACAATGACCATGGCATTTTACAGATGAACTGTTAAAGAAATCAGTTTCTGATCAGAGTGACTGCTGACAGAACAAATAAGGCACCAGGATTAATCAAGCCTGGCTGTTAGCCTGGTTTGGAGCAGGCTAGCTGCACAGCATAAACCTCCATGGTAACATAATTTATCTTAATTTAACCTGTTATCATGCAACTGAGTCAGGGCTACATGCAGCCAGGATAACTGGAAAATTCTGGAAAACTATCTTGGGTTTGGGCAGTATTCCTCAGGAAGTCTTTTGAGATTCGTTATAAGGTTCTGGGTTCTTTGAAACATTTGGCAAAATCGAGCAAGAACATCTTTCTATGTTTAGAGGTTTCCTCAGTATACTTAATCTGTCCAGCTGTTGTTTAGTTGTGGTAAAGCTGTAATGTTTGTCTTATTAATGTGTCTCAGGCTTCAGGTGAAGGCAGACTGATTCCTGAGAGACAACAGGTTGAAGCTGACAAACTGAGGAGCAAGGATGAGGCACCGGCTGTACGTTTACTAATCTCAGATGAGGAACAATGTTATTTATTGTATACATTATTCTCCTCCTTTGTGCTCAGTTTATCTAAGGATTGTCATTATAACCTTTGTAAAATCACAGTTAATGTGTGATGTTGAGTGATGTCAGTCATTTCCAAAAAATTTGACATTATTCTTTAAATATTCATTTTCATAATATGATTACAATTTGGTTTTGTCTCAACAAATCTTTTCTCAAAACAACATTTTTTTCCACAAATTATGATCATCTTTAAAATTACCTTTTTTGTTAAACTACAACTTTGTCATTTTTTTCTTAAAATACTGTCTTACTGAAATAGTGACTCTCATTTTTATAAAATAGAACTGTTGTAAAAGTCAAATTTCAAAACATCAGCTTTGTTCACACATTACAACTTTATATTCATGACATTAAAGTCATAAAATCATAATATAGACTTTTTATAATGAAATAACCAAATATTTTGACTTTATTTTAGATATTACAAATATATTCTTTGAATTTAACTTAACTTTCAAGAAATGACCATGATTTGTTTGTCTCATAAAATTTTGCTGTCTCAAAGCATTACATTTTTTTCTCACAAATTAAAATATTCTTTAAAATAACCACTTTTTTGAGAAAATGCTATTATATTTTTGAAGTATTGTTTGTTTTAATAAAGTTTTGACAAATTTGTCCTGTAAAAGAAAAAAATGTGAAAACATCACCTTAATATATATTTGTTATTAAACTCACAAATTTATAACTTTTTCTTATAAAATAACTTGATATTATATTGACTTTTATTATCAAAAGTCTGACTTTTTTTTTTTTAATACAATTTTGTTTTCTAAGAAAACTGCTACTTTAGAATGTATTGTCCCCTTTGGATTTTATACCAATAACACTATGTTATTTTATCATATTACCATTTGATGCTCAGAAACAGATACCTTTCCCAACAGTGACCCTAATCCACAGTACATTTAAACAAATGTGAGAAACTGTTTAATGTGTGCAGTTTGTGTTTCTGGCTCAGGTCAGTATGTGGACGCACCATGACCCCTACGTGGTCCTCGGGGAGGACAAACCCTTTAAGTTAGGTAACCACCAAGACTCTTAGGCGTCCCACACAGGGCCGTGTTGTCGTCGGTGCTGACAGGTTTGTTTCCTGTTTAGGAAAGGTCTACAGGGTTCCTGATGGTCTGGATAACAAAGGAAAGAGGAAAAGAGCTCAGCCTGCTCCACTTCAGGACTTCAGTGGCTGGTTAGAAAGCACCAGTAAGAACAGACTGTTTGTAACATTGTGTCTGTTCTGGAGGCTCCAGTCTGTGGACTGTGTTTGTTGTCAATTAACAAGAGTTTTTTTTGTTGTTGTTGTTGTTGTTGTTGCAGATGATTGCAGACACGCGCTGAAAAACAAACCCACCTTTAAAGGTATTGTGTTTGTTCTACATTTCTGCTCAGTACTACTGCTTCAACTAGACTCCGAATAAGTGCCCATCTCTACACCAGAGCTGACATAAACACGTTAGAAACCAAACCTCACTATGTTTTACTTTCAGTAGTTTTAACCTTTTGGCTGTGGGCTTGTAGATTTATTTTGTTTGCCTTCAGTCACACCTGCATCCTGTAATTTCAGAGCTTAAATTAACTCCATCAGCCCCAAACATCACAGTTTGAAACCATAAATAATACTTAATTAAATACAGTACAAAAAATTTCACAGGAGCGATGGAAAACAAATCAGAGACTGAACATACCAGATGTGATATGATAATTATTTCATCTGTATTGTGTTTTATTTATGTGCAGACACAACTACAACTTCTCTCTCTTCCAGGTTTGGACTATATATATTTGAGCTCACTGAAACACAGACTGGATGCTCGAAAAAGGATCCTCAAAGCAGCAGTAAGAGGCTGTGTTAGTAATGGCTTTCTAGGCATTAAATGCATTTGTCCTCATTTACTAAACCACCAGGAAATTATCAAATTTTGGGCTCTAGTAAATCTTTTTTATCACTTAATCTGCCAACTTTTAAAATCAATTGCTGAGTTGTTTTGTTCATAAAAGGTCAGAAAATAGCTGGTTTACTTTTCAGCAGCCCGGTGAGACATCCTCATTTGGTTCAACAGCCCAAAAATGCTGTTACTTTCATATATGAAAAAGAAATGCATCAAATCTTCACATCTGCACAGTTTGAAAATGTAAATATTGATTACCAAATTAGTTGCAGATAGGTAAGCTTTGCAGCTCTAATGCAAATCAGATAAAACAGCAGCTCATCTATATCTGCAGTCATAATAAATACCAGCCAAAGTGAAAACAGGGTGAGCCACTGACCATGTATGAGACATATGGTTAACATCCTCACGTTTCTTTCGCATCTTCAGTGACAAACTGTGTGTGATCCTCAGGGTGTGGTGGTCTCTGATGAGGAGCTGAGGAGGACCTACCTGAACGTGGACGAGGACGAGCAGGAGGGGCCTGTGGACCAGTTCAAGCCTGTTGACCCGCTGGGTAAAATACCTCCAGCCATGTACTCAGATAGCAGGTCGTCACAGAAGACGAAGTGAAGGATTTGTACGTAAAGACGTGACTGAGCACAGCTGTCTTCATTCTGCTGACTAAAGTTGAAAATTGTCTTAGGTGGAGATGATGATGATAATGGACCTGAAGTGTTTCCCAACAACACTCAGGCCTCAGCTGGAGTGAGCCCAGCTGACTTCATTTCAACAGGTAACAACACCTGAGACTCCGCAGGATAGGTGTGTTCAACCAGCAGCTGCGCCGAGGTTGTATTTTGTAAAAGTCAACCCAAGCTGCACCTGGTGGAATTTAAAGGCTGATTCTGATATTTCTGTGCTTACATCTGTTTTATTATTTGCTGTTTTTTTTTTTTTTTTTTTTTTTTTTTTTTTTTAAAGTTTTTAATGAAAAAGGGGGGAGGCTTTGA